TTTTCAAATGTAACAAAGCCATTTTGAAACCAACTGGACTAAATCTGTGGATTTTCCCTCAGACAGTCATTCTGATAGACTTAGTGACATATTTTAGTCTGATAATATTTATTAATTCAAACATTTAAATGTATTCATGCGGTTAAATTCACTGCATAATGTGGAACAAACTGATCTGTTTAAAATGACGTTTACTGTAGAAAGTAACTCTTTTATTGACTTTGTGTTTTGCTAACCGTTCTTCATCTCCTGTTAGGTGTGGTTTATGGTACAAGGGTCTGCTGCTGCTCCTGGGTATTTTCTGGCTTATGAGACGAAGTCTGTCTCCACGGAGAAGATCAATGACCATCGAGCCGTGGGGATGGCCATCTACAACGAGCCGTGAGTCCAGACAGAAACTGCTGCGTGCTGCTGCAGTCTGCTTGCTGCAGTCTGCTTGCTGCAGTCTGCTTGCTGTCTGCTTGCTGCAGTCTGCTTGCTGTCTGCTTGCTGCAGTCTGCAGCAACAATAAAGCAGCAACAAGAAGCCAGTTTAATTGCTTCACAGCTCAAAGAGGTCATAGTTTATCTGTCAGTGGGTTCATTATCGTTCTGCAGTCTGTTCTCATTTAACTTGACCTCTAGCAAAGACTCAACAGCACAACATCAGAGGGGAGAGTTGGCTAAAGGTAGCTTGAACTTTCCTGGTTGTTGCTGCACAAACATGTTGAAGCTCCTGATTGGAGCCAAGCAGGAAGTTGGAACAGATTTCAGCAGCTTGTGTGAAGTTTTCCTTCACAGATTCCTGATAAACTATCACTTTGTGCTGCAGCGGCACGGCTATCTCTGAAGTCATTTGTTAGCAAAATCAATAAAATCCAACTTCTATTGTGCTGCGGTTTGTTACTGCTCATGCACACAGTGCAGCACTTTGGCTTTATTCCTCCGCATACATAATAAGCAGAATGTGCACAGCGGGACGCGGCTGGAAGCGTCGCGCCTTCTATAGATCCGCTCCGGCCTTTCGCAGGAAAATGCAGCAATTTGGCTTCTGAAGGAGAGCGTTGATGCGGCTTGCTGTCTGCCGCAAACATCTTTCAGGGGCGGCTGATACCAAGTGAATCACCTTAAATGGAGGCACCTAGGATGCACTTTCAGCTTAAATAGGTGCCATTATGTTCTCCATAGCCACTTTAGAGAAACACTCGCTGCCATTTCCTGACACGGTTGACATGGAGCGACTTTGGAATGGATGTAAAATGTCTGAAAACAATAAGTGGTTTCTGTCACTTCTAACTCCAGAGGAGTTCAGAGCCACTTTCACACCACTTTGCTGTGTGTTACTCACATGTTTTTCTTCTTCTGGACTGAATAATGAATTAAAGAAGGTCTTTAATGAGCGCCTGCATCGGCCTAAGCTGTGCTGATTTGTTGATAAAAAAATACATTTATGTTTAATTTCAAATCATTTATAAGGACAATAAAAACAGCCTGTGTGCTCGTTTCATCACTCGGCCCCATAACGAGAGACAAGTTAGACGTGTGTTTGGTGTTATGATGCACACATTTCAGTTTTATGAAGATGTCAATAGTTAATGGGGTCTACAGGGAGCGTCCTCCTCTCCGCTCAGCCGTAGCTGCCGGCTCTGATGAGACGACAGCGCCGGCCGCCGCCGCCGCCGCCGCCGCCTCGGTCATGACTTTTTAATGCTGTTTTCACTCGGGATTCCTCTCCGGAATGATAAACAGATGCCTAATGCTTTTATTGAGTGGTTCTGTCCTTCGTTTCTAACCGGCGCTGCGTCTCCGGCTGCAGGTGCTCTGCCTGATCACGGCGCCGGTGACGATGATCCTGTCTTCGCAGCAAGACGCCTCCTTCGCCTTCGCCTCGCTCGCCATCGTCTTCTCTGCTTACATCACTCTGGTGGTGCTCTTCGTCCCGAAGGTGAATGACAGCCTGATAGCAGGAGGCAAACCGACAGTCACTCACAGTAGAGTAAAAGTGAAGGTCAGACCTGTCAGAACAAAGTTCAGACTGAGCGTATGAAAATTCAGATTTCAGGATTTTGAGTGAAGGCATCCTTCTCTTCATGTCTTCCTGTTGTAGAAACGATATTAAAACGTCAAGGTGAAGAGGGAAATTGTTTTGTGCTAAAAAATAAAACTTTAAAGATGGTATGACAAATAGAAGTAGAAGACTTTCTGCAACAGAAGCAAATCAAACTGAAATTTATAGTGTTGGGAAACCAGGAAAACAACAACTGCTGCAGATATTTAGAAAGGAATATTTAAATCTGATGGATCATCAGCAGATCCATCATCATAGAGTAAAAAACATTTCTGTGCAAAGCATTCAGCTAGAGAGTAAAAAAGTTTAATTTAGTTTATTTACCGTTTACACATCACTTCATTACATCAGTAAAAACCATTATAAATAAAACTAAACATATCATTTGTTCTTCATTTATTGAAGTTACACTGAATATTCAGAAATGTTACTCCAGTCAGAGTAATGGAACTTTATAATAAAGTTACTCAAGTAAATACTTCAAAAAGTATTTTTTCCTAAATGTTATTCATGCAAATGTAACTGAGTAAATGTAACTAGTTACCTCCCAGCTGTGTCCATCATTAATTGTTTCTGTGGTTCTGGTCTTCTGCTCCGTCCTCGGCGGTCCAGATGCGGCGCCTCATCACCCGCGGCGAGTGGCAGTCAGAGCAGCAGGACACGCTGAAGACCGGATCGTCCACCAACAACAACGACGAGGAGAAGTCCAGGCAGCTGGAGCGGGAGAACCGGGAGCTGCAGAAGATCATCCAGGAGGTGAAGGAGCGTCACCGGGTTCTGACCAGAACCTGACCAGAACCAGACCAGAACCAGACCAGAACCTGACCAGAACCAGAAGACCAGACCAGAACCGACCAGAAAGACCAGAACCAGACCAGAAACCAGACCAGAACCCCAGAACCAGACCAGAACCTGACAGGAACCGACCAGAACCAGACCAGAAACAGACCAGAACCCGACCAGAACCTGACCAGAACCGACCAGAACGACCAGAACCAGACCAGAACCAGACCACCACCAGACCAGAAACCAGAACCTGACCAAACCAGACAGAGAAGACCAGAACCAGACCAGAAACCCGACCAGACCAGACCAGAACCTGACCAGAACCAGAACCAGACCAGAACCTGACCAGAACCAGACCAGACCAGAACCAACCAGAACCAGACCAGAACTCGACCAGAACCAGACCAGAACCTGACCAGAACCTGACCAGAACCAGACCAGAACCTGACCAGAACCCGACCAGAACCAGACCAGAACCAGACCAGAACTCGACCAGAACCAGACCAGAACCAGACCAGAACCTGACCAGAACCAGACCAGAACCCGACCAGAACTCGACCAGAACCAGACCAGAACCAGACCAGAACCAGACCAGAACCCACTGGTGCTGATTGGCTGTCCTTCCAAAGAGCAGAAATAAGCTAACCTGTCATGTTAGCCTTTGTGCTAAGAGACGACATGAGCTGAACAGTCATTGATCAATCTGATCATTGATCAATCTGAGCTCTGAACATTCAGCTGCTTTTTTATGGGTTCGGTTATGATAAGCTGGGGAGACTTGGTGGGTTTTTGGTTTTATTTTGTTTTCATGGGTGATGGGAACATTTCTTTTGTTTTTATATTTTTAATTAATGCATATTAAAGTTTATTTCATGTTGGCAACAAAAATACAAAACGCAGCAAATTTATCATCACTGTAGGAGCTATTTCTCCATTATTTTTAGTTAAAGTTTAGAATGTAGATCATTCTGTTTATTTTGTTTTTCTATGATTTATAATTAGAATGTTTATTTTGTTTTCTAAATAAGTTTTTGGTTAGTAATTCACTTAATTAGTTAATTGATTTCAGTTTGGGAAGTGGGTGTGTTTCACAGTATAAATATGTTGTTTAGACGAGTCTTTAGTCACGTGGTGGTCACATGGTTTTCTACCTGTCTGTCTGTCAGTGAGTCAGTTTTTTATTATTGAGAATAAGTGCAGGAGTTAGGGCAGGGTTTGTCTGTAACTTGGTTTTAGATCAAAACTGAATAAAGAAAACAAAGAGCTGGACTGTTTGACCTTTTGTTTGGACTGCGTAAACCAGAACCCACGATCCACTGACTGTTTGAGTTCATTTCATTTTGCTTTGATCACTTTTGAAATTTGATTTTTTTTTTTCTCTCTTCGATTTTGGAATTAAGTTTTAGGGACAAATAGTCAATACAATCACTTTTATTTTTGTACAAATGTTTTCACATAAAATCCCAGTTGAACATAAATTCTGGTTTCGGAGAAATTTGCCCTCTCTGGTTGTTTTGTTGCTGTTTAACAAGGAAGTTTCTGTGACATTACATTAATGCTTTGTGACTCTGACAGAATAAGAACGAGCAGAGGAAGTTCTCTGCAGTCGCTCCAAGGCTAAACTTTGTTATCATCGGTTTTCCAGAGAAGAAGAGAGGGTGTCCGCGCTTCGCAACCAGCTGGCCGAGCGTCAGGCAATACGCAACCGCCGCCAACCCACCTCAGGCCAGAATCAGAACCACAACGCCCCGCTGCCCGCGTCCCAGACCGATCCCAAGTCGCTGCTTCCCCTCCAGGATACCCCAACCCCACCGTGGACAACCACTCCCTGCCGCCGTCCTTCTCCAACTCGTCCAGCCTCTACCCGGCCGACAGCAAGATGAGCCGCAACCACTGTCACAACAGCCAGATCCCGCTGCTCTACAAGTAGGCGGGGAGGCAGGGGAGACTGGGGAGACTGGGGAGACTGGGGAGACTGGGGAGACTGGGGGGATCAGGGGAGACTGGGGAGACTGGGGGGATCAGGGGAGACTGGGAGGATCAGGGGAGACTGGGAGGATCAGGGGGATCAGGGGGATCGGGGCTGGAGGGGTGGGTGGACACACGAAACACAAGCAGGACACGACTGCTGGGCAGGAGCCCACAGGTCAACACCCCGTCACCGTTCTGCATCCAAACCAGAAACAAAGCACACATGGCGGCCGCAACAACGCCTCTGACCTCCAGAGGGCAGAGGTCGTCTGGACGTTCAGAGGTCGTCTGGACGTTCAGAGGTCGTTTGGACGTTCAGAGGTCGTTTGGACGTTCAGAGGTCGTCTGTGACCTTCAAAGGTCGTCTGGACGTTCAGAGGTCGTCTGGACGTTCAGAGGTCGTCTGTGACCTTCAGAGGTCGTTTGGACGGTCACACGCTCCGTGGAGACGGGGATGTTCTTGGAAAAACGTGCGTGTTTGTGTTTTTCTGCGATTTCGTCTGTCTGGTGGGGTTTGTTCCTCATGCAGTTGGTGGTTTTTATCGTTCTGTAAAATTTGATCCGTTTCGTCATGGAGGTGTCGTCTGACTCTTTGTTCACTTTTCAGGAGAAAACTGAAAGTTACTGACTGATAAAAGCAATGTACAGATTTTATTCAACGTTCCCGGGAACGCTGGGTTTATCCAAAAGTTGTCATGTGATTTATTTAATAGCCATAGCCTAAAGGTCAGGGGTCAGCATGTGTGGATGTCTGTTGTCAGGCTGCATTTCAATGTAAACCTTGATGATAAACGGAGAGCAGAAGAAACCAGCTGGGATATTTCTGAAGCTTCTTAGTTTTTCATGTTTATTTCTTTGGGATTTTTGATTTCTTTTAATCTGAGATTAAAAACACACACAGGCTCTTGATTGGTCCAGTTTCTGACCCGGTTCTGGTGTTTTAAAACTGGACAAATGAGAAACGTCCTGCTTCATTAAAGCCTCATGAGGGATGTGCAGCAGATAGGATCCAACAGAGACATCCTGCTCATCCTGTGTCTCTGACGTCCAACAGAAACTCATTCCCCTGTCAGTCAGGACAGCTGCTGACCTTCCCAGTAAGGTCATCCTGAAATCGGACGATAAATGTGCAAACCACAAAAAACCCGTCTGAGGTTCTGCTCAGCCAATCAGAGAAAACATTTGGGCCAATCGGAGGGTCTTGATGGACACATCCTACCGACTGTCAAGCACGGTGGTGGAGGAATGATGCTCTGGGTACCAAACACAAAGGTTTCTTTGTTCTGATGCTAAAACCAGAGGAACTGAAACAGAACATTACTTTTTCAACAAAGCTTCAGCTCTTGCATTTTCTGGGGAAACTAACCTCAAATCAACTTTTATTTTTTTTCCCTCAACTGGTCCTGAAAGTTTTTTATATTTGGGTGTCTAAATTTTTTTGATTTGCCAAGAGTAAGAAATGAATTCAGTTCTGATGACCTTTTTATGTCAAAAGGTCCTGAACCCTGAATAAATAATTGCATGTAAAGCCGTGTGGCTGATAGAAGCTCTGACCCACTAATGAGCCGTGATGCATTATGTTGCTGCATTAGGCTAACAACTCCTGCAGGGTCCCTGAACGCATCGTTCCTGAACGCATCATTCCTGAACGCGTCGTTCCTGAACGCATTGTCCCTGAACGCATCGTTCCTGAACGCATCGTTCCTGAATGCATCATTCCTGAACGCATCGTCCCTGAACGCATCGTTCCTGAACGCGTCGTTCCTGAACGCGTCGTTTCTGAAACGCTTCCACCTTTTGATGCAGCTGAAGTTAGTCATGTATCTGAATGTCTGACCTCAGTAAACATCCCCAGGAATTAACTTCACTGGTTCACACAACCTTCAATATATTGAAAACTTCATCTGACCTTTGACCCCAGTCTTGTCTTAGATTGGTTATTCTGGGCTGAGTCAACACTTCAGCTGCAGAAAAACGTTCAGGGAATTTTTCTGGAGTCAGATTAACGTTTGACTGCAGTTGATCTTGATGTCAGAAAGTTGCGGTTTTAGATGCGACAGCAGGAAAAGCTGCTCCTGAACCGGCCTTTCAGCGAGCCAAAGACTGTCAACACCTTTCTTCACCTAATTTAAAAGTCTAAATGTTTCAGCTGCTTGACATTTGCTTGGCTTCAGCTTAGTTTGCTCTCTTACTGCAGAATATAAAAGATAATAATCATAAAGTCCCACAGCAGCTGCAGCAGCTGCAGCAGCAGCTGCAGCAGCACCTTGCTAAACGTCTCACACCCCTGAACAGTTTCACATTTTAGCTTCTTCATGTTTTACTGGGACTTTATGAAAACAAAGTAGTCCAAATTTTCAAGGAAGATTTTATGTTTTTCTCATTGACTTAGATCTGAAAAGTGTGGCATGCCAGTGTAAAGAGCACCAGTGAGTGCAGGTGAAGCTCAGGTTTTCTTCCTGTTTTAGCTCCATCTGTCCTCACAGCATGATGCTGCCACCACCATGCCAACCACAGGCGACATGAGGAATGCTAGTTTTTCCCACACATGAAGCGTAAAATGTTGACAAAAGGAGTTTCTTCTTTGTCTGCTTTCCTTACCTGGCAAATAATGGTTGACATGGCAACTTCTCCCAGTGCTGCACTACTTTCTGCTGGCCATGAAATCCTGAAACGCCGCCTGAGGTCTGTGGGAACATAATGTGACAGTCAGGAGGTGTGAGAACTTTTTGCAGAGCTTTGTGAATAAACGCATGATTTCTGTTGCACTTCATCTCTGTAAGCTTTTTCTCATTTTTATGATGTTTAAAACCCAGAAATAATTTCATTTTTTTCCCCTTTTTGTCATTGAACGTTTTGTTAAAGATGAAGGAAGAAAATCTGTTGTATTCTGAAGGAACGACCAATAAGCTCCATCTGCAGGTACAACAAGTTTATCAGACATTCTGCAGCTGCTGGCCGTGAATCTGCACTTTAGCACAAACGATGACGGATGTTCAGCTGTAAAGTTTTAGCTCAGTGGGTCGGATTGTGTAACATATGAATGCAGCAAAACTACAAGAAATTTTCTATTATCCTGCACATATATGCTAATAAACATGGATTAGGGAATATTTGTACACACTATATCTAAAGATCTTAAATGTTAATATATTTCAGAGTATGTGTATGCTAATATGTGGTTAATATGAATAAATCGTTTTTTCACTTGAGAAGCCGTCTCCTGTGGCTCCACTAGGGGTCACCAGATGTCTGTTTCTGACCTCCTGAGACCTTTGCAGTGGTTTTCATTTGAGGTCAATGGTGTTTGTGTGGAGACATTTTTCTGGATGACCTGTGGGAGTGGAAACAAAGGGAAGAGCTCATTAAGCAGAAAGTTGGGACGATGGGCGCAAACGCAGACAAATCGCTGCCACAGTTTGTGTTCAAGTGTGTTTTTAGATGATGATGGTGTGATGCAAACCAGCTGTGGTGTAGTCCCATGATCCCACAACACACACACACACACACACACACACACACACACACACACACACACACACACACACACACACACACAGAGAGAGAGAAAACGGCTTCCCGTGTCGTTTCAGTTTCCAGCAGACTGAAGGCAGAGTGTGTGGTAACGGTGGCTGAGGAGGGGAGGAAGGTTGCAGGGTGTGTGACTGTGTGTGTGTGTGTGTGGGCTGTGAGGGGGCGTCACCGGGGAAAACCCGGTCTGGGCTGAGACTTCTGCGGGCCTCCGCCTGACACAGCAGTCAGTGGGTCACTGAAAACGAGCAGGAAATTCCCCTCGGCTGCTGTGAGCTAACAAAGGAAGTATCTGCTGGCTGGAGGAATTTCAAACAACTTTTGCCAACTCTGTGTGTGAGATGTGTGTGTTGTGTGTGTGTGTGTGTGTGTGTGTGTGTGTGTGTGTGTGTGTGTGTGTGTGTGTGTGTGTGTGTGTGTGTGTGTGTGTGTGTGTGTGTGTGTGTGTGTGCACAAACCGGAACTTCCAGTGCGGCTTCAAGTCTCAGAAATCTACTTCAGTTTTGTTGATTTTTATGCATTTTTATCATATTAAATATAATATTAAACCAAAAATCCCACAAATTTAAATACCAATAAATATAAATAAATACATACAAGTAAATAGTGGAGAAATACACTGTGATCTGCTACAGCAGAGGTCTGGTCTTACAATCTGAGATCAACATAAATAAAGTAAAAAAAGTGCCTAAAGCAGAGATAAAGTTTCAAACTGTTACAGTTCATAAAGTCTAGTTCCATCTCCATGGAGATGTTAGCATGTCTACATCCCTTCAGGCGGAATCAAAGTGTAAAAATGTGCATCATTTTTCTTTTTAAATCCTGTCCAGGATCAGAGTCTTAGTTTCACAGCAGCGGCTCAGAGCGCGAACAGGCCAAAGAAGGTTTTCCCCTCGTCCGTGTCCAGCTCCTTCAGCGGGTTGGACTCCGTGTCCAGCGTGTCTCCTCTGTCCAGCTGGAACACGGCGCCCAGGTAGATGGTGCTGTAGCAGCCGTGGCCCGACCGCTCGCCGTCCTCCTGGACGCTCTGGCAGGCCGACCTGACGGCGCTCAGCAGGGACACCCGGGTCCCCACGGCCCGAGACATCCTGCGGACGCGGTGGCTGAGGGTCGGCGGGCGCCACTCGCCCTCCTGGTCGCCGGACCGGGACACCCGGAAGGACGCCTGGCTGTAGACGAAGTACAGGCCGCTCTCCGGGATGACAATCCGGTTGTCTTGGAGGCGGAAGTTGCCCTGCGAGAAGGCCTGGCCCACGCGGTCGCGCCACTCCACGGCCGTCGCGTTGCCTCTTTCATCGTAATGACCTGAAACGAGTCACCAGTTAAATCTCTGCCTCAAATATGACCAAATATTTCTGTCTAGTTTAATGCAAACATCCTCTGAGAGCTTATTGAAGGAAAGTCTCTTAATCTGGAAGGAAAAGTTTTGCTTCCACTGATGGATTATTTCACTTATGAGAGAAACGTTTTATTATGAGTGAAATAATCTCCCAGTGGAATAGAAATTTGATCAAATAATTATTGATTTCAAACAAACTCCTGCGATATTTGCTGGAGACCAAAGAAACTTGATACGATTTTGTGATTTAAAAAAATATTTTTCCTGAGTTTGCTGTTATTTATATGAATGATTTTCATTTGGATCCTGAAAAGATCAAAATTCCCACATAACTCCATGTTTTGGACCAACTGATGTATTTTTAACGTTAAATGATGTTTTATCAGTTTCTCAGTAGACTTTTTCATGAGTCATTTTTACTTCAACTTTTGTAAAACATGTTGATCTCTGAGTTGATCTCTGAGTTGATCTCTGAGTTGATCTCTGAGTTGATCTCTGAGTTGAACTCACCTTCCAGATGAATGGCTGCCTTTGCTTTTTTGCTCATTTCTTGCAGTGTGGACCGAGCGCCTGGACAGGAAGAGACAAACATGAGCTCAGATGATCCAGAACCGAATCTTTCTGTGTTCATGTGAAGGAGCTTCAGCTGATGCTCACCTGCCGCCTCCTCAGAGTCCATTCTGAACGGTGCTGCTGTGTTTCCTGCCTGCGTCTGGAGGAGAGGAAACATGATTAAAAACTGGCTCCAGAGATGAATCCAGAAGTCAGATTGAACCCAGACATGCAGCAGATTCTCCTTACTGTTGGTTCTGATCGTTCCAGCTGGTACCAGACGTAGAGCCGGGCGCCTCCCAGGCAAAGCGCCAGGAGGAGCAGCACCGCCAGCAGCTTCCACAGCCACCCTGTGGATGACTTCTTCTGCACCAGGACCTCCATCCTGTCCTGAGGCCCGGCCTCCACGTCGCCCGCTGTGATTTTGTATCCCGTCATCCTCTGGTGTCACTTGGCAGTCTGCTGGAGCCGGCAGCCCTCTCTGCTTATCTCTGAGTTAGAATGAACTTCTGCCAGCACGCCTCGTAGTATTTATGCAGTGCGGCTGCTCTTGCAGAAGGGAAACTCCAGTTATGTCACAGAGTGAGTGGAGAGGCCGCAGCTGCAGCAGCAGAGGAAACAGAAGTCACAGAATTTCTCAGTGTGTGTGTGGAGTGTGTGTGGAGTGTGTGTGGAGTGTGTGTGGAGCGTTGCGCCGCGGCAGGAGCTGCGGGTTCAGGACGGGAAAGTGATGGAGTTTTTAAGAGGGACGGATCGATCCACAAACACGCAGACATGAGGCAGACCCAGAGCTGAGGCTGATCCACACCTCAACCACTGTAATCTGTAATCTGTAATCTGTAATCTGCTCGACCTGCAGCCAGAATCAACCCTGGACTCCAGTTTCACTCCAGCAGTTTATCGATCTGTGATCAGTTTAATGCAGGGCTGATAAATATACGCAGGAATGAAAAACATCCAAAAGTATGTTTTCAAAAATAGACCAAAGGAAAGGGAACCAGAAAGCCTGAGAGTGATTTCTTTTTCTGTCTCAGCTGTTCGTGTCTTTGGGTGAAAATCCTCTGGAAGTTCTGTTCAGTCTGAAAAGTAAAACCTGGCAGCTCCAACTTTCTGTTTCACAGCCTGGAGGTGCTGCAGCCCATGCTGCAGCCCATGCTGCAGCCCGGCCGGTTCTTCCCCCTCTGACGCTCCTTTTCACTTTCACAGAACCGTCCACTCCGCTTTGGCTCCAAATCAGTTCTGATCCATTTAAAGGTTCTGGAACAGACTGAAACCAGCGTGTTTCAGTCTGTTCATGTCGACCAGAGGAAGAAACGATGGATTCTCTTTAGGGAAACTAATGACGACATGTTGCATTTCAATGAAATCAAGAATTTTCTATTAAACTTAAAAACACGCCAAAGCGAGCTCTGCATGAAATCCTCAGTTTTCCAGGTTTGTTTTGATGCTGCAGCTGACAGTGAAACTGCTGGCAGCACAAAATTCTGTTTGAGTTTGGAACTAAAACTCATCAAAACCACAGGAGAAATGCAGAGACCAGATCAGATCAGAGACAGAGGAGCAGAACCGCAACATTTCTGCAAAGAGCCGACCAACATGGGCAGAACCTCCAGAACCACACAGACCCAGATGATCCAGATGATCAATGAGTCATGATTATGGCTGATTACTAAACAACGTGAAGACAAAATGTTTTCTTGGAGGGCAGGAATCTTCCTCATAATGAGATTTGTCTGTGAAAAACATTAACAATCTAAGAAATACTGTTTGCTATGGTTATTCCCCCAATCTGAGATTAAACACTGGCAAAATAATCTCTGAACATAATCCAGGATCTGTTCAACATAATTTGTTCAGGTTCTGTTCAGGTTCTGTTCAGGTTCTGTTCAGGTTCTGCTCAGGTTCTGTTCAGGTTCTGTTCAGGTTCTCTTCAGGTTCTGTTCAGGTTCTGCTCAGGTTCTGTTCAGGTTCTGTTCAGGTTCTCTTCAGGTTCTGTTCAGGTTCTGCTCAGGTTCTGTTCAGGTTCTGTTCAGGTTCTGTTCAGGTTCATTTAAATGGATTAAATATTTTCTGTTATCTTGTAAATGAAAACAAAATTCTGAGTTTATAAAATGTAATTTTTTTTATTTTACTTTATTCAATAGACTCATGGTCCACAAGATACACAACAACACAACATATTTTTCTGGGAATATTTTTACTTTTTTATTGATTTTTATTGATCAGAACTCGACGGTTTTCTTTTTTCTTTTCTTGTTACAAAAAAATACAAAATATCCCGTTAATGAAAATGAATTTATATAAAATACATATTGTATTTATTCAAATTCAATTAATTTGAATAATTAATTCAAATTAATTATTTGAATTTCTTTCTTAGACAGGAACCCAGTTCCTCCATTATTATTATTATTATCATCATCATCATCGTCACAGTTCTGATTACAGACACTCTCAGTGAGTGCCGGTTGGAGACATCCTCAAAGGAAGCGGATCCTTCCTTTGATATGAATATTTGTAATTAATTACAAATATTCAACATAAAATAAGCAGAAATGTTTATAGTTTAATTCACCTAAAACAATATAAATATATTTATACATTTTTAAAAATGATGCATTTGAAATCTGTGGCGCATCCTTGTTGCCCACGGCGACAGGTCATTGGACCGGTGCTGGTTCTGGTTCCTGCCGGGCCTGCTGATATTGTTGCCATGATGATTAAGAAGTTGTGCGGCAGTGAATCACCAGAATGACATCTTCATGTTTCCACATTTGTTTCTGTTAATGTTTTATTTTGGCTCCAAAAAAGAACATCCTTCCTGTTCCTGCTGCTCAACTTTGTCCTCCATCTTGTTCTCCTCCCCGGACCGAAGCGGTCCAGATGTGCCAGGCGGTTCTGTTGGACCGTCTTCCACTCTGCTGCCTTCAGAAGCTCCTCTCAGCAGGATCTGCACATCCTGCTTCCTGTGAGGAGGAAAGCCAGCCGGGTTCTGAGTTCTGAAGGTTCTGAAGGTTCTGGAGGTTCTGAAGGTTCTGGTGGTTCTGAAGGTTCTGGAGGTTCTGAAGGTTCTGAAGGTTCTGAAGGTTCTGAGTTCTGAAGGTTCTGGAGGTTCTGGTGGTTCTGATGGTTCTGAAGGTTCTGGAGGTTCTGAAGGTTCTGGTCTCATCTGGTTTATAATTAGAACATTAATTATTTTTCAGTGTTTTATTAAAAATATGTTTTTTGTTTTTCTTCTGTAATAATTTTTGGTTTATTTTGTTGTTTGTTTATTTTGTCCTGTTTTCTCGTTATGGTCGTATATTTATTATACTAGCGAATGAAAACTAGTCATTTACGTTTACCAATTTACTATTTAAATTATTATTATTTATAATAAAACATAAGTTATTATTGTTGTTGTTAATTGGTTTAATTTTATAAATATTCATTTATCTGCAATGAGGATTTCATTTCTCTCATATTTTTAAAGTTTCTTTCTTTCGTCCGGTCTGATAGTTTATTCTGAAATATCATTAATAACTACGGTAATAACGATAATAATAGTTGTAACATGAGGAATTGGAACTATTATGATTATGAGCTAACGGGCTTTTCCCTCACTGTGTTTTATTTTCAGCGTTTCTTCAATCAGTTCTTTAATCATTTTCTAGATGAATTCTTTCTTCTGCTCGTTTCGAATGCTGCTGTTGCTTTTTCTGAGGGAGACAGCAGGAGCTGCTAAATGTGACCCAGTGGATTGTGGGTAAACTGTGTGGGCTGCTGGATGTTCAGCTCTATGACTTTATATCCGCACTGTCATTCAAACCCAGTTGGGAAACTCTTCCTTTCTGTCCCACCTTGACTGATTCATTCCAGCGTTGCAAACACAATCCGACCGCAACAAGTTGCCGGATGACATCATCCCCACCTTCACCGTGCAGCAACCACATGAATACAAACAAACACACAGGTTGCATCTTTACGTTTCCTGCGACTCCCTCCCCCACCTCTCGGTTGTTCAGATGGAGATTCACCGAGCAAAGATCTTGGTTTTGGTATCCGGTGTGTTCAAACAGCACAGGAAGCTCCTAAATAACACGTTCGCTCCGTAAAGGTCAGTAAAAATCCAACCCAACTTTCATTCTCTCTGCGCAGGTGCAGAAGACACGTTCTTGGAAATACATGCAAATAATCCCAACACTTTGTGACATTAAAGTGCTTTAAAGGAGCAGAGGTGACTCATGCATCTTCATGATTCATCTCACAGAAGAGAAATGACTGAACTGTAGATCAAACCTCCCCTGTGTCAAGGTTAATGTTTATTTCTGTTTGCCAAGAAAAATGGGACAGAATTTCTTTTACTGACGATTATTGTGCCTTTAAACAATGCAGAGATCCGACAGGAACCAAAGGCCGATCAGAGAGGAAGAATTCGTGACAGGTTTGAACGTCGACTCATGAACATGAAGCGGAACTGATCAGTCACGATAACACCGATACGTTTTCAGGAAAAAAGGGGAAGTTTGAGAAAAGTAAGGAGGTGGAGGACAGGTGGGAGGACAGGTGCTCTCCAAAAAATACATCACATCATGACAAGAGAACAAGGTGTGGAAACATTGAGGCAACAACTTCAAACATCTACCAGGAAGTTAAAGCTTGATTGGTGGATGGATCCTTTAGAAACCGATAAATCTGCTGCAGGTGAAACATCATCATGTCTCCACTGGGTTACATCAGACAGACGATCTGTGAAAAGATCGATCTCCTGTCTGAGCTTCCGACTGATGAAATGCACCAATCAGAGCCAGGAGGCGGGTGTTAACGCTGCCAATCAATGCTGCTCAATGTGGCAGAGCAACAACTCACGTTCCAGGAAAACTGTATCACCGTCACAGTGGCTACACTAACTAGCAATAGCATTCATGACAGGCTATACTGTAGCCTGTCACGTAGCTATCAGCTGTAGCATAGAAGAGACTGAGGAGGAGCAGATGAGCATGAGAGTGATTGGCAGCGCTAAGACCCGCCTCCTGGCTCTGATTGGTTGTTTCTGACTGAGGTGTATTTCTGTCGTTAGACCTGGGAGAAGGAACAGGAGGTCATTTTTTCACAGAAATATCTTCTAACACTGCCAGGAAATAATCATTTTAACAATATGTAAAAACATTTCTTCATAAAAGTTCCATTCTGCAGCATTAAGTCCATTTGTTGGAGTCACCATCACAACCATGTGTTTGCGTCTTCCTCCTGCTCCAGCTAGACCGGTTCTGTCAGGAACGGACCAGTAAACGGTTTTAAGCTAGTCATATAGTTTAAAAGGTAATGCCACCAGTATCTGTACCAAGTACAGAGAAGAGTAAATCAATAAATAATAAGTTCACGTTCTCATCGTTCTGGCCGTTTGGAAACAGGAGTTTTCACCAAACAGCTGAAAGTTTTGAGTGTATGTAAATATGAGTATGTAAACATGTGGTTTCTGTAGGATTTCT